TGCCGTGAATATCGTAAGTGTGACCAACCCGCGTACCAATCGTGGCAGCTATGGAAACATCCCCCCTCTTATGCAATATATGGTGAGGCCTGTGTTCAGCAGTTGACTTTATAGGCTGTAATAGAATAAATTGATAATAGATTTTATTTTGCTTTTTAGGTTAGTCTTCTTTAGGTAAAAAACAGATGTTGTTTTTATATTTTCAGGGGTCTTTTTAAAAGTAATCAGCTAAATGAATAAGGTAACAATAGTATTCTTTTAAAGAAAATACTGTTTATTTTGTTAATTTTTATTAAAGACATACAATATACACAAGAAAGAAAGTCAAGACAATATTTACAAGGGTTTCCACATAGCAGATCTATTTAATACTGCTTTAGACATTTTAGTTAGTATAATTAATTTGAAAGCAAATGAATTAATGCGATTTTAAATTCAATTCAACAATGTAACACTTTCAAGTAAAATAATAAGCATAAAATAGTTAATTTATTATAAATTTTAAAAATAATTTATTATAAATTTATTATACAATTAAAGAATACTGAAACAATTTAAACCTTAAATAACTGTATCTACTATAAAAATTATTGCCCTAATTGGATATTTACCTACGTCTTATGAAAGTGCACAACATTTAACAGTGATTAAAATTATCTAATAACTAGTGATTTACTTCTAAACAATCAAAGAATTATCTTAATATTTAAAAGATTAACTTAATAAATTTTAAGTTGTTTTAATCTAAAAAAACTTAACAGTAATTTATCACTAAATTGATATGCTTGATATTCTTGTGATCACAAAATTTGATGCTGAAGCTCAAGCTGACGCCCATACTCTTGACGCTCATTCTTAGATAAGTTAATTGGATTAATGTTCTACTAACGATTTTGTCAAGTTTCACGTCAGCTAACTGTGAACATTTTTCTAAATAAGTCTCTTACGTACTTTTGTTTAAGTGCTCCAACTAACAAAGAACGAAAAACGGACCGCTGCGTATAATTCAAGCGACGCCGAAACCATGAATAACTTATTGACACGCACTCGAGGACACATCTTTAATGATCTTTACGTGGTAGAGCCATGCTGCAGTTATATTGGAAGTATAGTTGTAGCACGAATGGGTCGGCTCGAGCAGGGAAGGTCCACGCTCTCACGGAATACCAGCGTGAAATAGTAGCTTAATGCTGCTGTATTTCGTATGGTGAAACGAGGCATTCCATCTTAGTCCTTACGGGTGATAACGCATCTGCATTTTGATTCGTAATCGAGGATAGATGTAGATGTCTATGGGCCACAGCAACCACTTACCATCAGGTGGACTGTGTGCTCGTTTGTCACCCTATCCTATAAAAAAAAAGATGACTCACGCTAGATCGAGTCGGGTCCGAGCCGAGTATCGGCCGCGGCATGGTCACTGAGCCGGTCCCGTGCCTGTAATTACAAAGACGAGCCTCGTTCGAGCAATTACCGTTGCGCGGTGATGCAGTATACTCGTCCGAGCAAAAATAGTGTTGTAACTAGACTAAAATCGTATTGAATTTTGACGATCTGGAATTAGCGGCTATTGTGACTCTGGATGATGAAGAATCTGATAAATCTTCAACTACAAGGAAATGGAGTGTACATCCACTTTGGAGAGAGCTATAAAAGAAAAGAGAATTTGTGAATCATTGTAAAGATCTACGTAGGTATGAAGAAAAATATTGGGACTGCTTTAAAATGACTAAAGAATCTTTTTACATCTTACACATGAAAATTAAAGATAATTTGATCAAATGCAATACAAAGTTTCAGATTCCTGTTTCATCCAAGCATCGACAAGCTCTTACCCCCAGGTATGTCTCTTTAAAATCAGTGCACTTATATAGAATCACTACGACTGCTCGGGTCAGCGGCACTGTATTCATGCAACGGACCGATGACCGAGCAGTGCCGGGACCAAGTTGTTGCCGAGCGTTGTCCGTTGCTCGGTCGTCACTCGATTGTCGCTCGGTATAGCGTGAGTGTGTCCATACAAAATATATGTAATATTAGTTGATGGTACTACGGCCGACGCTCGGCTCGAACCCGACACGGTCTAGCGTCAGTACCGTCTTTACCATAGGGGCATACGGGGCCCGTGCCCAGGGCCGCAGTCGTCATGGGGGCCCCCGTGACGATAGGGCCATCTGCCTTATTCGCTTACGCTATACAATTATTTTTCTCTTTTAGGAAAATATACTCCAATAAAAAAGTTTATAGAGTAAATGAGGGCGTTGTTAGTAACTTTCTGGCAACCCTGAGTAGTGACAAGCCACTTATTGCCGAGTCGAGAGTAAAGAAATATATAGTTTCACGTTTCGCCGCCATCTAAACGTTTTTGTCGGTCTGTACAGTCGCCTTGCTTATAGCCTGGATTCCTTATTTCTAGACAAGAAAAGCCTAAGTTTTAATGTAATAAATAGAACGTATACACGCATTGATGATGTTTTAGAATGTTTTCTTTTTTTGAAAGAAACATATAGATATATAGATATGAAAGATATAACATTAAGGGGAAATAGTAAAAATACTACCTCAAATGGCTTAGCAAGATCCTCCGTTATGCCGAAAATATTGCAGCATTAATTTTGAAATAAATATATGGTAAAGTTGAGGATTAATGTTAAGTACTGTGTTAGACGAAACCACGATTCCGTAAAACTTTCTCGATAAAAAAATCGAAAGTTACCTCCAAACTGAACAATAATGCGCTGGTATTCATAAAATACTTTAAATTAGATCATGAAACTTTGCATACTAATTGAACTAACTATAAAGTAGGGGATATGTTTTTTGTTTTTATAAATTACCATTATTTTCACTGTAAAAAGAAATTATCTAAGCTTTTGAACGGGAAATCTGAGTCGCTTGCGATCAGAATACACATTAAGCAACAGGACGACGTAAAATTAAAATGGGAAATAACCGTAATAAAAAGAAGCGACTGAGTTGACGTAAAGAAACAGACATCAATATGATAAACCTAATGAAATAAGTATCTAAAGACTATTAGCTACTATATTTACAGTATTAGCGATTACAAACATGTCGGAACATAGTATACGACGCACGGGGAAGTGAGGGCAAAATTAGAAATTGAGCTGAGTTACTATAGCCCGTGAAAGTTTACATTTTCATAAGAAATTAACATCCCCGCTATCGAATATTTTACCTCATTGTAAAATGGCGCCGCCCTGGTGCAGAAAAGTCGTAAAAAATTAATTATAATAAATGTAAGATCATAGAAGAAAAATATTTTTGTTATTCACTTTTTTTACTTTCCAACAGGGCTCCAAATTATTGTATGCGATATAACGGTATGGCCTAAGATGGCGTTATCTAGCGTGAACCATTATTCTTTCTATCTTTATCAGCTCGAAAAAGTTTACTACTGGACGCACATAAATGTACCTAAATCCATATTGTTGGTTGCAAACTTTGGATGCATATGTGTACATGACTGCGTGTTCTTACAATAAGGTGAGTATGCTTTTAGCTTGGTTTTTGCGACACTTGAAATGTTCGCAGTGCTCCGTCTTTCTTTCTTTGTTATTATGAGTTTAAGACGTCCATTTACATTTTTATAATTCAGTATGTTCAAAAATCACAATATTATATTATATCGTATATTTTACGTGCATGTGCTTATTATGTATGATTTGCAATAAATCCAACATATAAAATATGTAAATATTCGTTGATTCTGAAGTTTACAAAAGCTTCCCTAATTAAAAAATCGATACATCGGAGATTTAAAACGACTCCAATCAGATGTGACTATAGCATTGATGATGTGATATTCAGCGTTTAATTCTTTTCGGTTGCCTTCCGTATTACCTATGGACATTTTATGCTAAATAGGTATTACTTAGACTTATTCAACTATCGCTTCAGTCTTGGACGTTACACTTAAATAGAATACTTCTAAAACCCGCGTCGAATATTTTATTTTAAAATTTGTTTGTAATTAGGTTAGTTTTAATTTTAGCTTCTGTATACTATTGATACTATAGCTTAAATTAAATACGCACAAAATATAGTTTAAAAAAAGGTAATTTCTTAAAATTTTGAAACATTCCAATTAACTTTCGGAGCTCTTTAATTGCTTACACTAATTTGATCTAAAGAAGATAATTCAACAACGTTATAGCTATTAATATTTAAATTTTAATCATATTATGAATTTTGAAATTCAGGAAATGTTTCCTAAGATAGATAAAATCACATTTACTTGTAACTGAAAACATTAAGACACACAGCACGACCAAATGACGACATCTAAAGAAGAAAGCGAAAATATTACACTACTTACTCCTTGTCTTCAATTTTTTTAAGTTACATTATATCCTTATCACTAAGAAATTAATCATTTCTAAGACTGAAAATGATCACAAATAGTTAAATTCATATCTGTATACCTAACCAACATTGTATAAGGTTGCACACAATATTTAATAATAATATATAAAAATATATTGCTCAGGATTTCAGTGGGTCGGTTTGTCAAATCAGTACAATACGGTAAATGCTTGTAGATTAATTCTATTTTAAGGCTGCTAGTACAACATAAGCACTACACCTAGTAATCAGCATATCCTTTTCCTTGATAAAAACGCTTGTTCCCTTTCCTATGCCAACAAAGTTAATTCTGATATTACCGTTCAATAATGCTATTTTCTTTCAATACAAAAAGTTTATAAGATAAACATTATAAACGTTTAGCGACAGCAAATTTTCGTTTAAAAATAAATAATAAGGTATATTTAAATTCAATTCAACTATAAATAAATATTCCTTTAAGTGCCTTATTTACGGTTTCTTAATTGTATATATAATAATTTAAAAAACTTATTTGCTAGTGATATGTTTTGATATGTATTCGTATTAATAACATTGATATGTATTTGATCACAAAGTCATAGTGTTCACAGGATTCACACAAGATACATGTGTCATTTTACCAGTCTACGAACCTAATCTTCTGGCCATCCGAGATCTTCACCTACGAGATCATAAAATCGTTGGTTGTGTTGGATGAAAAATTTGCGAAGCTTGGTGACTACAGCGGGATCAACTCTAGGGTGCTTGCGGCCCTTTGTTTCTCTGAGACATTTGTCTGTAGTGTCATTTCGTAAGCAGTAGAATCCTTTTGTTTCGTTGAAGTAAAAATTTTTCCTCCCTATTGTAAAAATTAAAATATATGCTTTAAAAATATATTGCTTCACATGCACATATTTATATAAGTATATACTTTTTTCATTTGGCTGCCTCGTTGGTCTTGTGGTCGTAAGCGCTATTGCTGGTCCGGGGTTCGAATCCACATATCAGTTATTGTGTTTTTCTGTTAAGAACTTTATAAGGGGAACTCTTGCGTCTGTTCTCTCTCTGATCATATCGGATTGCCGTCTCATGGGAACATGAAAATAAAAGGATGGAGAGTGTCCCGTCCTGATCAGATGAGATGTGCGGTGTCAAATCTCCATTGAGTCTAGTCGGCATGAAGGAATTTATTTTGGAGGACATTATTATTATTATATAAAAAGTGATACTTAAAACACATACCAATTTTATGTTCGAGTCCAAGAAATTTTTCTATGCGACGTAACTGAGGCACGGGGTCTTCGATAAGTTGGTCTCCATTTACGACCAGTATTTGTTCACGGGGAAATACCTCAAGCCATCGGAGAAGGTACGCGTGATATAGAGATATTGCGATTGGCCTGTTGACATTACAAACAACTGTTATATACAGACAGTTAACGTTAGTTTTTGAACAACCTCAGAGAAAATGAAAGCATACTAATGCATAATCGTTGTTTAATGATGATTAACTCCTTCAGTCGCTTTTATTATATTAATATTTAATTTCAAGAAATTTATGACAAATACAATGGAATTCATCATGGATAATAAAAGCCGCAGAATAAATAAATATATTTTATGTATGTTCGTGTCGAATGTGTGATCCTTTTAACAATATGAATATGATTTTCGGTCTCAATGATAAAGTGAGCCAGTACAGTTACAGAATGTGAGGCATTCCGCCTTAGTCTTCACAAATGACCACACATCTATAGCCTTCTTTGTTGCAAATTGTTTGCAGGTGTCATGGAGTGCGGTAAAAATATATAAATGTAAAAATGTAAAAATATATATATTACCATCTGGTGAACTGTAAGTTTATTTGTCACTTTAATTTTATAAAAAAATACATTCAGGATATCATCACTATCCGGTGCGATATAATAAAATGAAAAAGTAGGCATTTGTAAAGTAGTACAAATATTGCAAATTATGCAATTACTAACCTATAAGCTACGTTAATAGATCCGTCTGGTGAAATTGCGAGATGTTCAAATGGCTTAGCAGAATCGGGCACTTGATGCGGAGTGTGGCCAGATGACAAGGCGTGAGCCGGAGCTGATGGCGTGGCTCGACTTCGTAGTTGCGTGTAGTCCGAAATGGCACGTGTCACTGGTTCTCGCACTATTAGCAGTAAGCGAACGGAGGAATTCATTGCGCGAACACGTTCCGGTACCTGCAATAAGTTATTTTTTTTTGTGCAATGCCAAGATATTACCAAGTATTTTAAATAGGTAATAAAACTGTAACAATTACGGTAATAATCAGTTATAAACTATAAATCAAGTTACCTTGTTTTCATTGACATCTTCAAGGTTAGATTCAACTATTATCAAATAATTTATTGATATTACATGTCGATATATATCTACCTATCGATATATCGATATATATCGATATATATAGTCTACTGCCTACAATTTATAAGTTGTTTGCTATGTGCCTGGAGAAAAGAATAGAGCCAACTATAGAAAAGAAACAACCGGTAGAACAGGCTGGCTTTCGCCAAGGGTACATATACATACCTTAGATCAAATAATTGAAAAATATGTAGAATACCAGGAAAAACTCTATATAGCATATGTTGACTACGCAAAAGCGTTCGACTCTATCTCGCATAAAAGTATCTGGGACGCATTGGAGCATCAGAACCTTCACTCTACATACATCAATATTATCAAGGATATATATAGAAAAAGCAAGGAAAGAGCAAGCAAGAAATATAGTGAATGGGGCACTACACTCTATTATGAAGAACCAGAATGTGTCAAAAAAGGCACGTATGGTAATTCATAATGCTGTGTTAGTCCCTACTTTAATGTATGGTAATGAAAGCTGGGTGTGGCAGAAGAAGCACGAAAGTAGAATAAATGCTGTAGAAATGCGGTCTTTAAGGAGTATGCTAGGGTTGAATCTGAATGACAGGGTGAGAAATTGCGTGATAAGAGATAAATGTGGTATGCAAGATGATGTTGTGACCAGGATTAAGAAAGGAATGCTTCGGTGGATTGGTCATGTAGAAAGAATGAATGAGGAAAGAGTGACAAAGCAAATTTATATGGCAGATGTGAACGGCAGAGTCGGGAAGGGACGCCCTAGAAAAAAGTTTATCGACCAAATTGGCGATATTTTGAAAAGGGGCCACGTTAGAAGTACCCTTAACCGACGAGCATGTATGCGTAGATATATGGATGTAAAGGAGGCGAAAGAGGTATGTCAGGATCGTGCCAAATGGAAGTCCGTAGTCTCTGCCATGATAGGCATGAGTGTTTATGTATGTATTATGTATATATAGAAAAAGCACAAGTCGGGTTAAACTGGACAGGCTAGGCCAAGAATTTAATATTCGTAGAGGCGTGAAACAGGGAGACCCGCTATCACCAAAGATCTTCATTGCTGTCTTACAAAATATAATGAAAGACCTAGATTGGGATCAAAAAGGAATAAATATAGATGGGAATAACCACAGTAACCTGAGATTCGCCGACGAATAGTACTTTTTGCTAAGTCGTCAAAACAACTTCAGGAAATGCTGATAGAACTAAGCGCTGTTAGAGAAAATATTGAGCTACAACATAACACCTCAAAGACAAAAACAGCTACCAACGGCACTAAAGATATCATAATAATAAACCGAACAACAATGGAGTACGTAGAGAACTATCCATACCTTGGAAAACAAATTTAATTCCAAAACACAAGACACCTAGACGAAATAGAAAGGCGCATTAACATGGCGTTGGAAAAATACTGGAGTAACAAGGAAATATTAAAATCAAAAATCCCAATAAGACTAAAGAAGAAAGTGATGGATTCGAGCCTCCTGCCCTGCCTAACATACGGTGCCCAAACCTGGATCTTTAACAAAAAAATATGTCAAAAATACGCGCTTGTCAACGGGCTATGGAGAGGAGCATCCTCAGTATAAAAATTTTAGATAAAGAAAATAGTGAAAAAATAAGACAAAAGACCCAAGTGATAGACGCACTGAAACATGCACTACGTTTAAAATGGAAATGGGCAGGACACATCGCCCGCTCCTCTGCAGACAGATGGGTCAAGCGAGCAACCATTTGGAAGAGCCCTGGAGGTCCTGGAGCAAAAAGAAAAAAGGGCAGACCAACAGCTCGCTGGGTCGACGACATACCAGAAGTAGCAGGAAGAAACTGGGTGGAAACAGCTACCGACAGGAAAAAATGGAGGCAACTGGAGGAGGCCTATACCCGAAAGGGGCCATGACATATTTAGCTTATAATATTTATACTTAATGTACTTTTTTCTAACGGAAACCGATGTTTTGGCGTTTAAGCATTATAAAATATTTGAAACCCAAAAAGGCAATCACCCCATTTTTTGACTACTACCTATCAGTATTTTTATTAATTGATTAAATTTACTAACTTTTTTAAATAAGTTTTTACAATCATCTCAATTATTGAGAATTATGTGTTACTGTCACAATGTGTCACAATGTCACATTGAACCTGAATGACAGAAGAGAAAAATTTAAAGTGCAAGATGATGTTGTGACCAGAATTAAGAGGAATGCTTCGGTGGTTTGGTCATGTAGAAAGAATGAACGAGAAAAGAGCGACAAAGCAAATTTATATTGCTGTAGTGAACGGCAAAGTCGGGACGCCCTATACGAAGATTTATCGACCAAATTGGCGATATATTGAAAATGGGTCAGATTAGTAGTACCCTTAACTGACGAGCGTGTATGCATAGACATATGGATGTAAAGGAGGCGAGAGATGTGTGTCAGAATCATGCCAAATGGAAGTTCGTAGTCCTCTGACTGCCGCTCTGGGTAACAGGGGTGAGTGTTTATGTTTTTTTTGTTACTTAAATCTTAGCCGTGGTAGCTCAGGGGATAAGTATTACGAGATCAAACCGAGTTTGATTTTACACTAAAGGAGTTGTTAGTTACAATTTAATGTGCCGATTTATCGTTACCAATACGGGCACGAGAAGATGTGTCATAATTCGGAAACTCGGTGCGCGTTGCCAGTGATGACTTATGGGTCTGAGTGATTGCGCACACTAATTATTAAGGTCTGAGACGTCGTTATTTACTGCTGGCCGTATGAGGAAGCTCAAGATCGCTTAGCGAGCTATGGAAAGAGCGACGCTCGCGGTTTCTCTGCATGGTAAACTTATAAATTATAAAATCAGCAGTAGAACCAGAGTGACCGACATAGCCCAACGGATTAAGAAAACTGAATTCACAATAGGCCGGCCATATAGCTCAAAAAACCGACAACCGATGGAGAAAAAAGGTTCTCGAGTGGCAGACTCGTACCAGTAGGCAAAATGTAGGACGACTCCCACTAGATTGAGTGACGACCTGGCAAGACATCTAGGAAGTCGATGAATGCGGGTGGCTCAGGACCGTGCTTTGTGGCATTCCTTGGGGATGGCCTATGTTCAGCAGCGTACTTGTGAAGGGCCGTAATGATGATGATGGTGATGATGATGAATACGGGAACGGGTCAGTACGGCGTACATGTTGTCTCTTAAAACATCTCATATATTCCTAGATGTATTTATTACTTTTTCTTACTTTTTAAATATTCTAAGTTTTTATAACTACTATCTTAAAAATTTGACTTACCTCAGGTGTGACGAAGTAGCTAGGACTTTTCTCTATTGTAATCTGACCCCTAAAAGATGGCGGCATTTTACTCCTGTACCAGTCAAGTCCAAGAGCGTAGTTTTCATCCCGGTCAAAAAAGTGAACTTCCCCTGATGCTTTCTGCACCATGGGGTGAAGGTATAGCATTTCCAATAGAGCTCGTGTTCCACATTTGCGAACACCAATTATTAAGGCCTGTTAAAATATAAGGGAGTACAGATTCTAGTTGTAAATACAAGAAATTTTATGAAATAAGGTAATCAAGATTTAATACTTGAGGCAATCTTCTTGCAGGCCGGGGAGGTCGCGCTGGTTTTAGTCGTTTCCGCAGGGCCATTGGATGGTTTATATTACGGGTGTTACTTTCTTGATTTCGAAGGATGTTACGATTTTCATGAGTAGCTGAGACCATACTTGCTGCCTGAGAATATAGCTTAGCTTAAGTTACAAACAGTCAGATCTTCTTTATAGATTAAGGATGACAAATGAGCACACAGTCCACCTAATGGATGGTAAGTGGATGCTGTGGCTCATAGATATCTACATTTATCCACGATTAAGAATTAAAATGTAGATGCATTGTAACCCCAGATAAATAAGATAGAATACCTTGTAATCAGCAAAAAGGTTTTTGGTTCTCTACACTCGAAGTCGCGGTGCGATCTACGGTATGCAGCAAAATTACGCTGGTATTTTGTAAGATTGTGATCCCCGATCGAGCCGACCGATACGTGCTGCACCCATAATATAACTGCAGTATGACTCTACCCACAAATTTTAGGAAAAAATATGCTGATTTATGTTTGATAACACTAATTATTTTTTGGATGATGTTATGACGATGATAGATGTTATCACGCATATGGGCACACATAGCAGCTTTTGCATGCGGGAATGCAGGAACTGTAAATACTATTTTTCATCCTTATTAATTTATTCTTTTGACCATCAAAGGAGAAACAAGTGTTATAACACTACCCCAATAAAACTTAAGCTATGCAGCTTATAGAAAACGGTTACGTGCATCCTCACTTAGATTCAATACTCACTAGGTGTGCAATAGTTGCTTTAGGAGCGCATATAGAAGCTATTGCGTGTTAGAATCACAACCTAGAAGAACATACAGTCAGTCATCGCGCTTGATGTCGTAGGAAAAGCCGACATAAACAATAAATTGCTAGTTTTCGGAACGAGAAGTAGTAAAAAAACTTAAAAAAAAGCTGATTTTATTTTATTTCACGTTTAAACAAATTAACATGTATGCGGAAACTGATGAAACTTCAATTCCTTATCTTTAAATGAGAATGAACCACATTTAAAAAAATTGTTTGCGTGACAGGACAACTCCAGCGGTCAGTTCCCGAGTGGCTAGGGCTCAACTTAAATTGCGGCGGAATGGAATGGAACGGAGGCGTCAATATCGCCACGACGCCAATATCAATATATCGCTATACAACAATCGCCTTGGGGCTGTAGAAAAGTTATTCCAGATTACACTCCCTTCGCACCACTTCCCGTGAATTCCACAGATTTCGCCGACAGCATCTACGGAAAACCTCAAGAATTCCCCGGAATACGACTTCTTTTTTGGCTCATATCTAGTTTGTGCGTTACACAATTAACATAAGACTCATTTTACTATGTACAATTGCGTTAACCATAATTCGCTTCCCTTCCCTTCTGCAGTAAAACGGCCGCTCGGAAGCGCTTCACCAGCGTCTCGACCCGCACAGCACCCCACGATTGCCCTGTCTAGACGCCTTCAATGACCGACTGTTAGTAGTATTTAAACTGTGCCAGAATACAGGTACGACAATATTATTTTTGATAGTAGACTATATTATATAGCTACACCTTTGAAACTATTATTCTTTATCTTTTTAACATATTCTTTCGACCACTCAAGAAGAAACACGTGCAATAATACGGTTACTTGCATCATCACATAAACCTAAGTATTTTTTCCAACGTTCTGATACAAAATTTTAGGAATTTTGTTTAAATTTGCCTCCAAATTGCTTCCACAGTATTATTTTATCTTTTATTTTGCGGATAGTTATTTTATTTCTCTCTATAGCACATCCCTAGAAGCATTAGAGGGCAGTCTTCGTTCATACAATAAGCCTTTAATAAATAAACCACCCTAAAATACCATGGCATTCCCCTTGAATACATGATAACATGCGTAACCTTGTATGAAATAATCGATGAATGTTTGATGTGCGTGAAATAACAATAACCGTTATAATTAAAGCATTTACCTAATTGATTCATTTTAACGTATGTACATAAGGTATATTGGCGTAAAGCCTTCTAGGTATGGTGCGGTTAATTGAATGTCAACGTAGTTGTATTTTGAGCTTCGTTTAATACCACTTGATTAAAATACTTGATTGAAGCATTTATTTGCCATTCCGTCGTGTACAACAGTAATCATGTGGGGAAATAATTAATAAACTAGACTTCAATAGTAGCTTTTATAATTTATTTTTTATTCTAGATTGACATCTAACAAATCCAGCAAAAATATCCTTATCTTATCAACGTACAGTACATTAGTGTATCATATTTGAATACAGAATATTGTCGTTTTTTTTTAAATTTCTATTACTCTTTAAGAAATTATTAAGGAAACTTACTAGCATCTTGTTATTGCACTTGTATTTAGTACAAATTTTATTAGCTGTTGTTAAGGTCTTAAGTTTTCTTTGGTTTATTCCACTGTACACATTTTACTAAGTATGGAGTCATACAAAAAGTTGGTGTTGAGCAGGAATTTTATGTACCGTGTAATTTTATATCACGGACTAGCGATATTCTAGGCTAGGTTCTTATATCATAACTATACACTGAGGTCTCATTCCCTTCCCCTCTATGTGGCAGCCATTTTTTTTCTTGAGATATTCTCTAACATGTGTACAAAAAATCATATCTCCCAAAGTTTTTGTCTTACTGAGATAAAAATAGGCTCATTCTGAGGGCAATAATATCGTCTATCGTATAAGTACATTATGAAAAAACGGGTTTACGTATTCTAATATAATACGTAACTTATAACGTATAAAAATATATCAAAAATCATGCAAATCGGCAATTTAATTTAAATTACTGCAAAACCAACCCCGATTACCTTTTTTTCGCTAGATCAGCAGATTTTGAGCTAAACTACAATACAACATTAAGTTTACTTCACTACTTTAAGAATTATTGTACAAATACTAATACATTTGTGCATTAAAATAGTTGTAATATAAATACCTAGAATATAGATAGTCTGTGATCGGACACACTGCATAAAGCAATCCTAAACACAGTTGCCAATGACATTGCTTTCTTATCACGTAGAACAAGATTGCAGTGCACGATACATTTTTGGCTGAGTGATCACAAGTGCAAATATTTATCATGAAGTCCCGGGATCAAATCTCGGATCTGGGAGAAAAAATATTTGGTTTTTCTGTCAAGAAATTCTCTGTAGCAACTGGCGATCAAGAACTAGATGGTGTTTCACCCCTGTACCTCAGAAAGCCTTTGAGCCTTATTTCTTCCCAGTCATATCAGATTGTCTGATAACGGATGAGAGTGAGGGAATAGAGAATGCATCTGTGTTTGCACCTACACTCGTGCATTATAATCATTTCTTTAGGAGGCTAGCATCCGTTGAAATGGGCTGAAATTTGGTCTGAAGGACATTAGGAGCTTGCGCACTTACCCGTTCACTATGCAAGGGTGTGTGTGCAAGCACAGGTGTATTTTCTATTCCCGTTATTAAGCTATTGCATAGCTTCTATCGCGGGCCTTGAGCGCGGGGACCGAATCCAGAAATTCCGTAACGAAAAAAAACCTCACGCTCCCCACTTCGACGGGCACGGAGGTGTGGCGTTGAAAGCCGTGCATCGTCTAACGTCGTTTTAGTTCGGCAGACTTCGGCACTCGGCAGACTTCGGCACGGTGTTGGTGTGCGTGTACACTAGCTGCTAACTCAATGATGAAAATTCCTGAATAACCTACATGTATTGTAAGATATTAAAAAAAATTTTAAACAATATTAACTTCTCATTTATTAAATAAGAGAAAAAAATTGTTTTCTTATCGGTCACCACGCTCAAAAAGTGTAACTTGATTTAATATCAAAGACTTAACTGAATAAATAAAATAAATATGTCGTGGATTGATGGCGCCATAGTGCTACAAGCAGCGCCATCTAACAATTAGCTTTGCGAATCAATAATATCGTTACCGGAAACGCAAGCGCGCCCTACCGCTTGGACACGATCGTCGGTAGAGGGGATGCAGCGAGGGCTAGAGAAAGGACCGAGTGTTGTGGCAGTTGAGTTCGGACAGCCGGAGCGGACGCTCACTACCGACGCACGCGTTTGTTTCTCGTGTACAACCACTAGTCTAAATAAAGTTATTTTTGATTTAAATCATCTTTCGTTCGTGTGCCCACATTTACATAAAACCATGTCGGAGCGTGAAGAAAACACCTTTGACGCGACATCAGAAGTGGGATACACCCGAGTTGAAGAAAACACGGAGACTGGAGCGATGTCGTCACGGTGCGACGAGAGCATGCTTCGGGAGCTGCTGGCTGCTCAAAACCAGAATATGATGTCCTTGATAGAAGCCATCAAGGGCCCGGCAGGTACCAAGTATATTTCTCTGCCTGAATTTGACCCTGATAAGCCGGATGTAGACGCACGTGCCTGGTGTACTACAGCGGATCTGTGCCTATCGGAGGTACCGCTTCGGGGAAGTGCTCTAATAATTACCCTAAGCAAGGCTCTGAAAGGTAGTGCTTCACGTTGGCTGGCGCAAGTGTCGTTTGCGGGGATGACATGGTGTGACTTCAAAAGCCTGTTTTTATCCCGGTACGATTGTGTGGACACACCAGCCGCTACTCTTGTCAAAATGATGAATGGCAAGCCCAAGGAAGGTGAATGTTATGCCGCGTACGCTGCCCGATTGCTTTCAACGCTCACATCACGCTGGCAAAACATGAGCACTGAGCAGATTGCCATATCTACGGTGCTTGCTCACATGGCACAATTTGATGGGCGTATTCAGAGGCTGGTGTTTACTACCGAAGTCATCAACAGGAACAAGCTGCAGTGTGAACTTCAAGCGCTCTCGTTTTTGAAAAGGAAAGCTTCAACGGTTAACTCAACCGACGCCGTTCCAGAGTTCAAGCGATCCAAGTTTCAGTCGACAACGCTGAAGTGTCACAACTGTGGTAAACTAGGTCATCGAGCATCTGACTGTCGATCAAGAAATGAGGTGAAAAGCAAAACAGCCAATACCACCATCTCGGCGTCAAGTTCTTCAGGACCAAAACAGCGTTTGGACATCATCTGCTTTCGATGCGGCAACGCCGGACATTTTGCAGCAAAATGTCCACGAAGTAATAGTGCGGGCACCAGC